CCTGTAGCCTTTAAAAACCCCAAATATCCCACTACCACATAAACTATACCTTGACCTCTCTTTCTAAAATTCACTTTCCTGGCATAAATATAATGCAGTCTTGGTCGCTGCACTTTCATTTGCAGCCGCATGCTGTTTGAATTTGTGAATAACCTACATTCCCTTTCCTGTCGAGCGCATCACTTTCCGAACGCATAGAAACATTGCTACTGACAGAAGACTTTCTCGGTACCATGTGGGAAGCGCTGATGCTTCGCTTGCGCAAGGGTCTCGACGCAAGCAGATTCGAGTCCTTTCGGGGCCGCAGGTGCCCCGTGCTACTCATCTCGCTGCTCCTACCACCGCTTCTATCGCCGCTCCTACTGCTGCTCCTCCCGCCACTCACGCTACGCGCCATTGTGCGCCGAGTTTGCAACAAAGATGGAGTGGAGGTGATTAAACTCCCACTGCCAGCACCACCCCACACAGAACTCTCCGAGCGGCGATAGCGAACGCGGTTGCGGACGAAGGATAGCAGGGGGGACCGAGCAGTGCCCTGTGTGGTGCCACGTAGAGGGTCGGTTGCCCTTTGAAGAGCCGCCTCCTGTGCGTATTGCGTCTCAGTGGCTTTGGTCTTAAGCAGCAGGCTCTTCAACTTCGGACAGGTGATCACGTTATCCGGAGAGAGGTCAAGAATGGCTAGTAGGCTGGTGGAATGGGAGTACACTACGATCTCACCGAAGTAGACCTGATTGGTCAAGCTGAAGCCCCTTTTACTGGCCAGTGTCAGCAAGTGACGCACCCACTAAAGTGGCACGGAGATTTTGAGATGGTTACTTCAGACAATATTGGTGGTGTATGGAAATCGTACAAATACTTGCATGGTCAATTTGCATAATATTTTAAGACATCCCAATCAAAGTAGTTGTAAAGTTGAAAGACACTTCAAGAGCTACTGTTAAAATGATGTTGCAAAAAGAAAGTGTGCTTCCATATACTAAATAAACTTTTACATGAGCTAATTTAGCTGTCTGCTACTGGCGTCACACATATGCGACACACTGATTTTCACGGCCGTAACAAATCGTGTACAGTAGCCAGATTAAACGCGATTAGAGTAAACATTTGCACGCTACTTGTTTGGTCTAATGATGGTTACTTTTATAGTTGGCGTTTCATTGGAATAGTAAGTCAACTTGGCTGTAATTGTCGTTTTTACTCTGGCACATAAATTTAGGAAAGAGGCAGTTGAGTCGTCTCATTAAGTGGGACTGCGGTACAACGTTGCCTCTTGCTTAACATTCCTTTATTCAGCAGTTGAAGGACGTAATG